ATTATTTCGCGTTTTAGATAACTGTTTTAATAAATTGTAATAGTTTAGACAAGATTTTAGAAAAAATATCGATGTTTAAAAAAAATCCAACTGCAATTTTGAGGGGTGTTGTAGGTTGAGGGGTGACGTCATTTTAGGGGGCGTCTGGCTTTTTGTAACGACGTGTGACGGAGGGGAGTGGGGGAGGTAAAAATCGTCCAAAAAAGCGTGACGTCATTTATGGATGAACCCTTATGGCCAATTCCAGTCCACCACACCCAGAACGAAATCGAATTTTTATTTTTTTTATTTTTTTATTTTACCAGTGTCCGTCCTCCCTCATACACAAATTTGTTTTAAGTGCCCCCCACCCCCCCCCCCCCCCCCCCGAAAAATTCTGAAAGAAACACTGCTTACAAATTCAATTAAAAATACTATCAAATTAAACGTTTATTAGTATTATATATTAAATATCTTGAACCTACCTTCTTTAAAACTATTGTAAACTGTGCGTGAACATAGCTTTTTTTTTTTTTTTTTTAGCTTTAGCTTAGGCTTATTTCATTCATCGTTAGACGATATACGCAATGCGCGTATGTCCGCTAATGGAATAGGCCTACTGTTATGTAGAAAAACTTGAAGGGGGGGGGGTGCAAATCGAAATCTTGAGGGGGGGGCGTAAATAGAAAAGTTTGTCCCCGGGCGCCGGGAAGGGTCGCTACGCCTCTGCATCTAGATCTAGATCGCCATTTACTGTATTTATTTTTTAACGCACGTTGTCTATTTCATGTTTAATTGACCGAAATAAGCAATTTACTTGTATTGTTCTGTATTATTTTAGGCTAGGCCTATTACTAGAAAACAGATAAACTCAAACAGACAGGAACGTATAGTCTCTTCTTTTAACTACACAAAATATTAAAATCATTCGGCCTAATCTTAGGCTAGTGTCTAGACTAGACACATCTTAGACTTTTGACGGCAAGCACAGATCAGCTTCTCTTCTTACAGGTGACAGTTGGTGTTGAAACCATAAGTTGCCGATAGATTTACTAGATCTACATATCAATAAGAATCCGATTTGTAATCTAATAACGAAATTGTCCTGTGTCAATGTCACACTTGAGAGTTGAGACTAAGACTCTTTCTTGACTCTTGCTTGAGTGAGTCTTGAGTCTTGAGAAACTCGAGACTGACTTGTCGGTTGACAAGAAGTTGAGAACTTGAGATTGTTGGTTTGTTTAGGTTTAGAATACCCCTAGCCTATATCTAGAATCTAATATCTTCTAGTTAGGATTAGTCACTACTGTCTAGAAACTTTAGTCTAGATTCCCTAGATCAATCTAGATCTAGCTAGGACTCTAGATTCTAGATCTAGCACTTGCAGCTCGCCTGAAATCTAGAATAGACCTGCTTATCGCCAATCGAACTAATCTAGAATTCACATAGATTCTAAATAAAAACATAGCCCTTAAACTTTAAAACATAAAGGATGACGCTATTTGGAGCCTGGTCATTATCCAGGATCTCTATACTGTATTTAGACCCTGTTTTGAGTTTGCTCTATACTCTATAGTCTATAGTATAGCTACACAATACCTGTATTAAAATTATTTAAAATGTAGGCACATAGATTCTAGATCTAGATGTACTTTTAATTATTACGTTTTGACTTTTTCCTAGATCTATTAGGGGGGTCTAGTTTTTTGTATTAAATAAATCTTTATTAACTTAGATCTAAATACTTTCAGACAATATCTGAATACATGGGCCTAATAAACTTAATGTTTACCTACCAACACGCTATTTTAGATGAGAAACGACACATGGAAAATGAAACCAACACAAACTTATTATTGTATCACTCAGTCTTTAACACTCTTTAACACCTCATCATCCTACCCATTGGGCATTGTAGGCAGACAGTGTAAATACTTTTTCTTAACTCACACAATCTTGAATAAGTAGCTGATTCCAGAATGATAATAGTGTAGTAATCAGAGGCGTAGCGACCCTTCCCGGCGCCCGGGGACCAAACTTTTCAATTTGCAAACCCCCCCTCAAACTTTCGAATTTGCACCCCCCTCAAGATTTCGATTTGCAACCCCCCCCCCCCCTTCAAACTTTTGATTTGCACCCCCTCAACCTTTTCAATTTATTTTTCCAACCCATTTTGGCGCCCCCTAAGGTTGGCGCCCGGGGACATGTGTCGTCGTCTTCCCCCCCCCCCCCCCCCCCCGCTAAGCTACTGGTAGTAATGCATACATTTCACAGAGAGACAATCATTTTAATATAAAGGGTCTATATAATTACAAAGTTAAAAAATACTGAAAGTTGGTTTAACACATGATGTCAATAATATTCAAAGCTGTTGCATTTAAAGTGTGTGCTGCTTGTTTCAAAATAAATAAACAATTTCAGGAAGGTGGGTTATAGAGAAAAAAAAAATGTCCGCCCTAGCCATCCAAATCCTGCAGACTAATTAGACCCATGGCTGGATCATGTGCACGGTGAACAAAGACAAGCGCAGACTTTGTCAGACAGTCCTTACACTTGGCATGGCTGACGCATGACAATTGTTAGATCTTTATTAATTATTTATTTAAATATTTGTGTTTGAGTTTTATATTCTATTTAATAAAATTAAGTAAATATTACTAGCTAATCCACATTAAAAAAATCAAAACATAAACGGCAACTATACAGGTGATGTGCACCCTAACTTTCCCCAACTGACTATCCAATTACTATTTTTAAATAATGAAAAAGATGAATCAGGTTATAAAGCATCCTGTTTAAAGAATTTTTATTTAGTAACTATCTTGGATAATTAAAATTAAAAACTTATTTTTGTTGTAAAATGGAATGTTTTAATCCTCTCTGATTCTTAGCATGTATAGATCCATTGGCTGGTTGCACAAAGCTCTCCTGTATTTTAAAATAAATAATGCTTAGAAGCTTGTGAAAAATTGGAACAGACTAGTAAGGGCTTTAGTATTGAAAGTCTTTTAAAATTATCCAATGAAGCATACATGCCTGAATTGAAAACCATATTTTTTAAAATCTTACTGTTGTCACTCTAACACTTTGTGAACCTCAACACCTTTATTTATATTGTTAAATGACTGTCAAGGAATGTTAATTGTTTCTCTATCTGCAAACAGAAATCATGGAGTTTCTAAAAGCCATGGATGAAGCCAACAAGCAAGGCATCTCAAGTACAGATTTTGCCAAGATCTGGGACCTTGAGACCAGGCTCAAACTTCAGAAAGCTGAGGCCAGAACACTGGAGCTTAAAATAGCTTGTGCAAAACAAATGGTTTGTTTACAATAAGAAAAGTTTAAAATGTTTTATCCCAGTAGCATAATAATTTTAAATATTTTGTAAAACATGCAATTGTTGTGTATATTTTATACTTTTTAAATTAGATTTCAGTATTTGAATAAAATAAATATCACAAATTATTATAACAATATTAAGTGGTTCTAATTTAACATTCAGTTATCTTGTTTAATTCTATAATATTTACTATGTAATTGATTGTAGGTGTGTTATTAATTTTTAAACATTGTTTCAAGGAAGGTCACCCCCACGCCATGGACGACACCCTACAGCAGTTCATCTCTAGCCAGTACCAGCTGCTCCAGCAACTAAAAAATGACCTGGTTTTACAACTCCAAGTTCAGTTCCAGGAGGTAGGGAAACTTATTGAAAGCCAAGCCAACCTCACAGGTCCAGTAGTCAGAAGGGAGCTGGACATTGCCTTCAGACAGCATGGATTTTCATCCAACTTGCAGCCATCAGTAACAAGTGGAGGATTATCTTATTCCAACATGTTGGGGGACTCGTTAAGTATAAGACTTGATCAAAACCATCCAAGTGTGGCGCTTTATGGCACATCTTTCCCTAACATTACCAACAATGCTGGCATTACGGCTCTAGAGCCTAAAGCTAAGCGTCCACGACGCAAGAACAAAATGACACCAATGAAATCAGCATCAAACTCTGATGACAGTAAAGAAGTAGATGTGAGTGAATTGGAGTTTCTTCCACCTGAGGGTGCTGAGCTTGTTGTCAGGGATGCTCAGCTTATGTCCAACACAGGCAAGTTTCATGTTTCCAAGTATTTTATCCTAACAGGCTTTCCCCTCAAAGCCAGATTGAATGTTTGGTTTGGTGCCCAGGCACAGCTGTTTGTCTACCTGTCCATCAGTGGGACTGAGGAGCAGGTGCTCAACATGGCCCATGTGTTTGATTGTGTAGGCTTCATAGCAGACAGAAGCACTGGAACCTTTTCCCAACTCTTTGAGGTGAAGAGCAACCCTATCAGGAGAGTGAAGCTGACAGAGACACAGTTTAAAGCTGTTGTGTGTCTTCAGACAGCAGCCGGAGCCTCCAAGGATGTTAGCTATGCCAAGCTGGAGAGTATGGGGTTCATAGTTGATGACTCGTTCACCATTAATTGGAATGTGAGTTCTAGGAAATTCCTTCCCAAAGTAGTTGAGAAGACTGAAGGAGAAACTGTAGAAATTGACAAAACTTAGCCTAATACTGAGCTCAAATGGTTATGCAATCAATGCATTGTATATGAGTAATTGTTTTGTATTGTTTAATACTTTAAAATTTATATTATTTCTTAAACAGAAGACAAACAATATTATTATTATGTTAATTTTGTCATAATTTTGGTACTGTGAAATATTTGAAGAAAAAAGGTTGGAAATTGGAAATGTTATTTTCTGGGTGTTGGCTTTTAAGAATTAGCACAATGAAGTAAAAATGTTTAGACCTGGACTAAAACACTGCATAGCTGACTACAAGTAACCTCAATTATTAACAAAGTAACAGTAACAGTTACTATTCCAACACATTTCTTACCCCCACTTATTTCAACCTGGTTGTTTCCAGATCTGAATCTGTAATGCCACTGAGAATAAGGGCTGTAATTATAAGATTCTACTTGTAATTATTTTCTTAACTTTTGTAAACTTCATCAACTATTTTCTTTAAATCTCCATTAACTATCACATTTGTAATTCTCCTGATATATTTCATTTAATTTTTTAATTGCTATTTTTAGCTTGATAAAAGATTTTGTTTGCTGAATGAAAGTTATCTTAATTTTGTTGTATTAAATGCCACAATTTTGTTAAATTGATTTAATTTATCCAAGTGGCTTGTTGAAAATGACATTGTATTAACAACTGATCTATTGTATGACTGAACACAATAATTAAAATCATGATTGTCACCAGTTTTATGTCTTCACTCATGTTTTAGTAAGTGGTGTTAAAGAAAAACTATGAACTTAACACTTGTATAAAAGTTGTAGCTTATTTGAATAAATTGCATCAAGTTAACTAGTACTAGATATACCTGGCCAAGTAATGATGATATACCATGTATGCAGCCCATGTTCACAATTAACTTAAGGATGTCCAGAATTTATTGCAGGTGTAGGTATGTACTTGATTAGTGCAGAAGCAGTTCTTGAGATGTTATAAGACTAGGTCTGTGCTTACCAACCAACATGTCATTTTATATCATTTAGTTGATCAATATAATTTATTAGATAATGACTGAATTTGATCAGTGATTTCAGAAAGTAAAAACATTGAGAAACAAGCTGTGTTGTATAACATGAACACTTTTATTGAATCCTCAAAGCATCCACATCACAACCAAAAATTAAAAGCACACATTGTGCAATCAAGAACAGGAAACTGATATACTAACAAGAAAAGGTTTACAAGTTAAAATAATTTATAAGGCACACCAACAAATACAGTCAAGTTAAGAAGACTTACACTAGAACAGAAAAACAAATATTTGTGACTAGTCCTCTATAAAACTTCTTCACTGAGCTAAGGAAATCAAATTTGGAATGTTAAAATTAAAAAACAAATGTTCAACATCAGTTTCATAATAGCAGATTTATAAATCCCAATATTTGGTGCTAACTTTAGCAGGGCCTGTACTATAAACCTTCAAAAGCCAAGTGTTTATTTTATTTCAAGACAGCATGATCATGGGGCATAATAGAATGAAGGTCACAAGATCTAATTGTCTAGCACAAATAAGTAACAAATCTAGATTAATTTTTTTTTTTCTTAAAAAAAAATCAGGTAATTGTAAATTTGCAAAAGCAATTTAGCATCAATAGTAAAATTACTCCACTAAACTTAAGCATTAAAAAATGAACAAAATTTTAGCATCATGAATTCAGATATTTAAAAGAAAATATGTTTCCCAGAATCTTGTAGATCTAGAAAACAGTGTTGTAAACCCCATATTTAAATTTAATGTGCATTTAAAATATGAACATCCTGTATGTAGACATGGGATTTTGAATAACCACACAAATTATACAACTTAATACAATAATTAAAAGACAGGAATCAAAAGCTAAAACAATGACATTTTAAACAAAATATTTGTTTTTCTACTTTTACAACTAATTAAGAACAATTTACAACAAAATAAAGATAAATGCAATAAAATGTATAATGCAACTAATACAATAAGCTTTTAAATGTTTTGTAATTATTAATTTCAAATTAATTACAAAACGAACTGGAAAAATTGGAATTTGTTAAACAAAACAGAATTTAAAAAAAAAAAAAACACATCTAAAATCAGAAATTGAGTAATTATAAATTCACACCTTTCACTGAGGATCATCAGATGCTTTAATGCTAAACTTCATAGAAAGTTTATTCTCATTTTCATAACGTTTAGTGCAGAGCTGCTCAAAACTGACCTCAGTGTAGGTAGCTCTGCTGGTGACCAGAGCAACATGTGCTCTAAGCCGCACCTCAGACCCTGGCTTGGGTTTCAGACATGCCTGCGGCTTCAGTTCCCAGATCTGGGTGAACCTCTTGGACCCATGGTTGTAGATCTCCCCACGCCCAGAGAACGTGATTGGCCAGGACAACTCATCATGAATGGCGTCCGCACAGACAAGCACGTTTACACTGAGAACACTGGTCTCAGTGAAGTGCACACCCAGTCTCACTTTGCATCTTTTAGGTTGAGTGTAAACGTATTTCGAGTAGAAAATTTTTCTATTCTTCGCTAGTTCACTACAGTTGGGTATCACACACCTGATCTCATTAGTCTGCACACCACCTATTTGTGTTTCACTAGGCTTTCGTGATGCCAGGGCACTGGCTGGCCTTGAACGAGATACAGAGCTTTGACTACCTGAGGAAGTTAATCCTGTCTGAGATAACTGCTGAGAGATAATCTCAGCTATTGGTCCAGTGGCATGTACTGGGTCACTGCTCTCAGTCCCTTCAGAGCTGACACCAACAGAACCTGAATCTTCTTCAACACCTGGCAGTAGAATCTGTTCATAATCATCGTCCAGTGGTATGGCGGCAGCTACAGCTGCGTAGGACATGCGTGAATTATCCCAAGCCTTTTCGGAGGAGAAATTGTGAGGTAGAAAGCTCTGAGTTGCAGGTTGTTGAGAATGAGTGGATAGTGAGGGCTTAGCGTTATCCAAAGGCAATTGTTGAGTGTTTGATGGTATTTTCTGAGAAATGTCAGATGGAATGTGCTGAATATAATCCGAAATTTTTTGCTGGGGATAATCCAATAATATTTGTTGAGGATAATCAAATGGAATATGTTGTGGATAATTATGTGCGGATGGTTGAAAAAAATTGGCAGAAGAAAAAGCTGCTTCTATCCCTTGATGTTTGTTGAATAGATCACCATTCAGATTGTCTGTGTGGTAGCTGAAGGGATCCTCTGCCTTAGAACAGTTTAATTTCTTCTCTATGCTCTCAAACATGAGCTGCATCTCATTCTGGACATACTGTTTCATGGAATTCAAATTCATCACACACTCATCCTCAACAAACTTCCTTAGAACGCGATGCTGTTCTTCGCACATTTCTTTCACAGACTTCTTCATTTCCTCCAACTGTTGATGAAACTCTTGTTGCAAACAAGCCACAGTTTGCTCTAAATAATTCTTATTTTGGTTTATCATGTTATTTGAAGAATTCTTCATAGGATTTAGTTCAGGCTGCATGGTTGACTAAAGAGAAAGAAAAAAATTTATTACAATTACAAAATCAGAAATAAATAAGATTACACACAGTATATAATGCTATTGCAGATACATAAATTCTTAAAGACTTGTTAATAAAAAATATTTGAACAAAAATGTGTTTCAAGCAGATCAAAAATATAATCAGACTGTTAAAAATAAGAGCAAATTGACAGCACAAAATAAATGTTAACTTGTGTTTTAGTTAATGAACACAGATCTTAAGTGTCTACCTGGAGGCCAACTATCTTAGTCTCAATATTATGCCGAAGTTCATTCATCTTCGTTTCCCATTCATAAACATATTCATCCTTAGATAAACCCTTGTCTCTAGCTTCCTTTAGACCCTTCAGAAACTCCATTCTTTCAAGGCCAGTATTTTTTCAACTGGGTATAACTGGAACATTAAAATCAAATATTTAAATAATATAATTTTTTTTTTAGAAGCAGCTGCTAAGGAAATTAGACTCTTTTATATAAATACATGTAGGCTTTAAAAAAATACATCTACTAAAACTATTAGTAATTTATTATATTTAATTATTTTTTGTTTGTTCATTAGGCCCTATCAACAAATCGTATCATATAGAGAGCTGAAAGCACTATATTGGGATACTGTCCACTCACGTTACAAGGTTGATGGTATTGTCAGGTTAACTAGCCTTAAAATGTGTCAGCCTGTAGTCAAAAGGCTTTAAAATAGGATAACTTTCAATTAAATGGATAAATAGGTTACTTCAATATAGCATTTAATAAGATTAAAGTATAGGCCTAATATTTTGTTATATTTTATTCTAACGTTTTGTTATATTTTTATAGACTGGCCTGTCTCTATTATCTATTGATAGTTTATTTATCAATGACAACTTGTACAGTAGACCTAATTTAGTAGTTTCATACATTTTAACATTATTTTTTAAAATTTATACTAGATCTATAGGGTGAGGGTGCTATAGAATAATATATAGATCTAGGCCTAATAAATTAATACTTTATTTTTACAATGGGGGGGGGGGGGGGGGGGGGGGCTACTGTTTAGGCACACACTTTTATAAACAATAAGTATCGTAGGCAGGCCTATTATATTAATATACTATTATATAGTCCTAGCTACTAGATCTAGATAGTCACAAATCTGGTGTAGTGTAGGTCCAGTATAGGACAATGACTCAATGAGTAAGACTTGTGAGTAGGAGTGAATCACTTGAGTGTGAATAGGGTGATTAGATTCTAATTCTCTAGTCTTCTGTATATTAAAATTAGATCTAGAGATCTAGATAGTAGAATCTGTCTAGATCTAGATTTTTAGATCTCTACTCTAAGCCCTAAGCTAAGTAAGTAGAATTGAATACTACTACTAGATTATAGAAATCTAGAATATCTAGGCCTATCTAGTTAGTGTTCTAAGAATAGATCTACTGAAATGATCTAGAAATCTAGATCTAGTGTTTATTTTTTAAGTGTAGTGTAGACAAATAAAAGACTCTTCCTTAAATTTACTTAAAATAAAAATAATCTAATTCCTGGTAGGCAGAACTACAGTACAGTCTACACTCTACACTACACCTACCTACATGTAACATTAGGTTAGGTCATTAGGCCTAGATAGTAGATATAGATTCTATATTTAACGATCTAGATAATCTATATTAAATCTAGATTATAAGTTATTAGATCTAGAAATGTGACCGTCCACCAGTTGCTACCAACCAAGAGAGTGACTGCTGGAAGTGGACTTTTTACTTTTCGATCACTTTCTTTTGTGAGCCGTTTTATTTTTTTATTTTTATTTGTTTAAAAAATAAAATAGTACTAGAATCTAGAATCTAGATCTAGAGAAATCTAGATCTAGATCTAGATCTAGATCTAGATTCTAAGCTAAATTTTTCTTAACTTAATTTTCTATTGTACAATATTTATAGCAATCATTAAATAAACCAATGTGTCAATCCTGAACTTGGTTAGAATCTAGAATCTAGTACAAAAAAAACACACACACAAGGAAGATGAAGGGTAACTTTACAAACGCAGTAGTCTAGCCTAAAATTACAGTGGTTGGATTTTGTACTGCTTTAAACTGCTGTCGAGTGACGAAAACTCGAAATTTTAAACTTCCGATATGCCCTCTAGGCCTAAAATTAAAATATGTTTAAATCTTGAAATATAAAAATAATATTCAACCCTTAGGGCCTAGACTATTGTATTTTTTAAATATTGGTAATTTTACCAAAATATGTTCACGATTTGAATTATCGGACGATTTACCTTTAAATCACGCTTTATGTAAAATAATCAATTATCTAGACTTTTTAGACCTACATGGATCTAATCGCTAATTTTAGTCATCGTCCCCCCCCCCCCGAGAAAAAAGTGTGAAAGAAGCGCTGGCCTTAATTCTTAGGCATATATTGCAGCAAATGCAGCAACACCAAGTTGACATTTATTTTGACCGCTGTAACAGTGTTGTTTTCCTTAACCAAGCATGAGACAAAAAAAAAACAAGTTTTGAGAATAATTAGAAATTAATTAGGCCTATAGTTTTAAGACGTGATATAGGCCAACCGAGCATTTCACTTACCTGCATTTAAAATGCGCAGAAATCTAGACTATAGAAATTAAGAAATACAATAGTTACATGAAAAGCTTTTTAATTAAATTCCTCGTGGGTATAGCCTAAGTATAACTATTTAAAAAAAAAAAACTATAATGAGAACAGGCTATGTCACAGAGATGGGAGAAACTAAAAATTTCACATAAAAGAAATCGCTTCTTTATTTATAGGTTTAGTCCAGCTTTATCAGGTGAATTTATATACACTACAAGCATAGCCAACCTTCGATAGGTCATTAGGTCAAGGTCTCTCCGATGTACGCTGACAAATAAATACAGCCTAATTTGATCTCTTGTTGCTTCGGTATAGGATCTGTGAGTATTTGTATTGTTAGCCCAGGTGGTAGAAGTGGGGTCCAGGACGGGGGGGGGGGGGTATTGATTGTTGATGGGAGAGGGTTGTAGTTGGGGGCGGGCAGTTGGGAGAAGGATAGGACTGTTGACAGATCATTTGGCTAAAGTGTCAGACAACAAAAGCTACTGATCCGGGCGATACATAAGTTGATCTAGGGTGGCTAAATCAAATGAATGCCCATGGCGCCATGATGTGTAGCCAAAACCAATAGATGCTCTCTAACAATGAAGTTTAGTTAAATTTACCCGTAGCGCCCCGGGCGGTAAGATGTGTAGCTTCGAGTATAATCCTTTCGCACAATAAAGTTTAGGTACATTTATTATCAAGCACATTACATTCAGAGCACCAACGAGAAGAGATGCGTTCTCAAAGTAGTAATTCGAGCCCAGTAATTTATCATGTTGTTAAATAAAGAAAACAATTACCATCTTCCTGAAAATAAAATAATCAGAGGGACGTCACGAAAATAAACAAAAAGCACATCTATCGTCCTATGCACACTCCCGATGAAAACATTTTCTCAACACATTGTGCTATTCTAGTGACATTTCTTTATCATAACATAGAAATCTGGCCAGAAGCAGACGCGAACACACGGGAAATGTCACGTGATCGATTGGGTAACAAGGTGAGCGTCGTTCAGTGGTAATCTGGTCGTTGTTTGCCTAGTGCAGTGCTGGTGTTGGGTGTTGTGATGTGGTAAAACTATACCTCACCATACTGCTGTACTATACTTCACCATACTGCTATATTATACTTCACAGAACTGATATATTATAGTTCACCATACTGCTGTACTATAGTTCATCATATTACTATATTATAGTTCACCATATAGCTATACTATACTTCACCATACTGCTATAGTATAGTTCAACATACAGCTATAATAGTTCACCATTCTTATATACGTGTTGGTGTCTTAGACGAGTCGGAAGGGAGGTGGGGTGGTTTATGAGGTGCAGTGTGTCAGAGATCATTAGGAAAGTGGGGTGGTCTATGAGCAGTGTTTCTTTCAGTCTTTCAGACATCTCTTCGATAAAAAAGTTTGAGAGAAACATTGTCCATGGCCTATTGGGGGGGGGGGGGGGGGTTGCGTAGTGGAAGAGAGTGGATATTGGGAGGTGGGGGTGGGAAAGGGATCTACGCAGTAAGCGGAGCGGGGTGTGTATAGGTGCTGAAGGGTGGGGTGACGAAAACCACAGTTATATATATATATATATATATATATATATATATATATATATATATATATATATATATATATATATATATATATATATATATATATATATATATATATATATATATATATATGAATATACAGAACAACTTGTTACGGGGAGATGGTCTGCCCGCCAGACGTTGTATAAAATTTACCATCTTCTTCTTCTTCGTTCTTAATTTTTGTATTCCAACGGAATTAAGTATGCGTTATGCGCCATTGAGGCAATTGACTCCGATTTCAGCCTGCTTTTCTTTTTGGATTTGCTTCCATAGCCTTTGTCCAACCAAGAACAAACTACAAGGCAGCAGTTTTTGAACTCGAGACTTTTCGGTTTACCGACTCGACCACGCCGACCCCTTATTACCATCAACACAAAATAAAAATCATAAAAAGACGTGATTTTTTAATAATCCTTACTATCTACACAATGAAATACAATGTTGACATAAATTAATACAATTTCATTACAATTTCAATACAATTTTAGCAGCTTTCGAGTTGTAAACTGCGTGTATTATAAACGATATACTTGTTGAACTACTGTTTAATGTAAATACACTTAATCGCTATACCAAATTAAAAATCACTACTAAGTATGCAATAAAAATCACCCGTAAATAATGTATTCGTGTAAATTATTCGTGTAAAAATGTGTTTTGATTAGACGCGTGTATTTTGCTTTAGCTACAGTGTGGAGAAACCTATGAAATAAAATCTCATGACGTTACCGGGGAACTATAAAAATCTAAAAATAAAACTTCGGATGGATCACATCGCTAGCTGCAGTGGATCGAGCTGAACTTTGACCTCTTCAGCCCATAAAAAGCACCTGAACGTCAGAGTCTTCGCGTCATCCAGGTACCGACGCTTCATCAGCACGGCCTGCGTGACGTCATCGCAGGTCGACCGGCTCGTGCACAGCTGCACGGCTGCGCCCAGCGGGGTTTCGATCCCGGGCTGCGGTCTCTGGCACTCCTGGGCCTCCACCTCCCAGATCTTGCTGAACTTGCGGGACGTGGGGTTGTAGATCTGCCCCCACCCCGCGACAGACAGCGGCCACTGGTGCTGGTCGTCCATGATGCCCTGGGAGAGAAGGGCAGACACGCCCATACGACCGCGTTTGTTGAACCAAATTCTGAACCTGGCCTTGCAGAGTTTGCCGCGGGTGTAGAAAAATTCCGTGTAGAAATCGTGTCTGTGTTTGGTGAGTTGGTCGCAGTCAGGGATGATGACATCCAACCCGTCGGACGGTATGTAAAAGATACTATCCACGTGGTTAGGCCCTGTACCAGACCACCCATAGATATGTGGAGAAACGTTTGGTAAGTCTTGTGTACAATACGGGACCAGTGAACTTTGGTTTTCTTGAAGATCAGGAGATTGCCATAGCAACTGATCCGCATTTTCTGATGGATAGAACTCTTCTGGATAGGATGGCGATTGAGTTACGTTTTCTTCATCTGTAAGTTCGTCTGTGTACAGACCAGATTGGTCAGATACCTCTCTGCTTGTATCTGCTGGGTCAGATACCTCTTGGCGTGTATCTGCTAGGTCAGATACCTCTCTGCTTGTATCTAAACTCTGTGTCGTCACTTCCTGTCCAGCTTCCCCCTGGTCAGTGCAGTGTCCCCCTGTCACCCCCAGCTCATGAATGTATCGCCTCACGTTCTCTGTGTGAGTTCTAATTTCTTGCAGTGTGCTTTCGTTTAACTTCCGCGTCTCTTTCATCAGACTCGTGTTTTGAGTGTGAAGATCTTTGATCTGAACTTTGACCGGATCGAGTAGTTCACCAATTCTCAAGCACGACGAATTAATCAGCTCCTCTTTTACTTCATTTTTCCAGTTCTGGAAATCTCGTCGTAGATTTTTCACCTCTTCTTCCACTCTGCCAATTTTCTTCATTTCTTGGCGTAATTTATTTGTTTTGGCCACTAGTTCCTCAAACTGTTGCCAGGGAAACGCGTAAACTTCCGGTTGTTCACGAGCTCTTGTTATGGGCAGCTAGGGAAACAAAGACAATTATCGTACGAATTAAGACTAGCATACATTTTGGTGCTTTCTATAGAAAATAGATCTATTTGATGCCTGAATATTAATATTATTTATAATGTAATAAAAGGAAGAATAAACCCATTTTTCTTATTCTTTATTATTTTTTTTTTTTTGTGTGTGCTTATCAAATTATTAAAATATCACTATTTTCATTCACACGTTTTAGAATGTAGCTCTATTTTGTCGAGTATTGATAATTGGGACCCAGTTCTACAAAAGTCTGGACATATCTCGGTAACCAAACCATCAATCTATTTTTGTCCTCTAAATTATGGCTCACACGTCAATGACTTATTCATGTCACCTGGACCCATCACTATGTTACCCAGGTCATTGATCTTGGCACCTGGACCACACCTGTGTTACCTGGTCCAGTTCCAGCCTCCTGGTCTCCGCCTGCAGCTGTAGAAGTTTCCTCTCAGCCTCCCACACACGCAGGAACTGTTCTCTTGTCACACCACAGTCCAGGGCTCGCTGGAGGCAACTCAAAAACTCCATTTCACACGTCTCGAGATCTGCACAACATAGGAATTATCAAACGTTACATTAAAACATATCGGAAATTCGACAGTTATATATATGTTCTAATATTGATTTATATTGATTTATTGAGTTTTATATTTTCTAATGTGTTTCGATTATACAAGGAGTCTATAAAATACGAATTACAAAAAAAAACAACCGAAACAAATATAAACTAGGTAGACCTAGAGGTCAGTGTTTCTTCCAGACTTTTTTCTCCGGGGGGGGGGGGGGGGGCACTTGAAATTTCCGGGGGGGGGGGGGGCGGTCAACATATTTCGGGGGGGAGGGCGGACACTGGTAAAAATGTATGTTTACTATATAAAATCCGCCCCCCCCCCCCCCGAAGGGATGCCTGGAAGAAACTCTACTAGAGGTTGATTGCTGAGAGTGTTTGTTCCAGACTCGTTTCTCCGGGGGGGGGGGGGGGGAGGGGAAACGGATGTTTTCGGGGAGGGCGGACAACATTACCAAGGGGGGGCGGACACTGGTAAAAGTATTGTTTTCTATATACATTCCATATACATATATTCCAAATATACTTTCTTTGAGGGGGGGGGGGGGGAAAGACCCAACCACGTGTGTGTGTCCACCCCTCCCCCCCCCTATGAGATGCCTGGAAGAAACTCTTGTCAAGTTTTAACTTAAAAAGTCGGAGGTTGTACTAGCTGTATATTTTGTTAGTTGTAATAATTTGTATTGATTTAGCTAAGAAAGAACTAGAAACAAAATTACATTAGCATGGATAGACTGTCATGAAACAGTAAATGTTTTCTGTTTAATTGTATAACTACATGCAGTTAAAAGAGCGAACATCTCGAGAAAGTCTATAATTAGCTTGATTGCATGTTGTCTAGCGAGCGCTGCGCTAATAATCACAACTCCGTCCCGACCAGGGGCGGAACTACAGTGCCGCCAGACCCCGCAATGCGGGGGGGCCCACGCCATTTAGGGGCCCAGAGCCGACCATAGTACATTTTTTATAGTTTAAAAAAAGTAAATTTTCTTTCATTTTTGACTTGATGGTTGTTTTGTAAAAAATTACCGTAGCTGCGTTAAATTATCTTTATTCTATAGACACCACCCCACGCTCTTGTATATCCTTTTTTCCCTTTGTTTTTAAACCACTGTGAAAGCCGAGTCTTTCTCCTACAATTAAACTTATCAAAGATAAGCAAATGTTCAAACCACTTCCATGACTTATTTCCCTTTTTTTTTAAAAAATAGTCAAATAGGGGTGATCATAAGCTCCTTTTAATAGATTTGTACTAAACAAATTAAAAAGCAATTACTTCTCTTAATTATTATTTTTTATAAGTAATTACTAAACAATAATATTGTATAAAAAGGAAATGTATTAAATCAATAATATTTAAAAAATTAATAGTATAATTACAAAAAAATCATAAAAATAAACATAACACGAGACACCATTACTTATACAAAGCTTTCATGTTTTTTATAATTTTGACCGACAAGGTTTGAAGTGGGCTTTTACCAAAAAATTAATTAAAGCTGATTTTCACAAAACACGAATGCACTTACACACATGACATGATATTGAAATTTTGTAAATTGATGTTTTTCAAATCCCGAACAGGCCAGCAATGAGTATCCCATGTTCGTATTTTGTGGTTGTATATATATATATATATATATATATATATATATATATATATATATATATATATATATATATATATATATATATATATATGGGGGGGGGGCTAAAAAATTTTTTTGCGGGGTGGCCCTTTTTTTCTAGTTCCGCCACTGGTCCCGACGTGTAGATCTATAAGCTACTGAGGTAATGTCTTTAAAGGTCAAGTTGGTCTCATTGATTTTGGTCTCAAATGTTGTAGGGTTGTGGGTTGGGTGGAATAGTTTTACATGGAGGGTTGACTTGGTGAGGCTATAACATCATGTAGTCTTATTTAATGGGGACTCTAACGAATAAAGGTGCTGATTTTAACGAAATCTTATGTAATGGTGACTAACACAAGATTTTAAAGCATTTTTTTTTAAAAGGTGACTAAAATAATTTTAACCAAATCTTATTTAAAATTTAATGGCGACTGAGATTATCTTATCAAAATCTTGTTTTAACGTCATTTAAACGCGATCGAACCTTATTTTAACGTGTTTATGTTATAATCTGAGGATAAGTACAGTTTCAAAAAAACAATAGACTTATGTATATTTAAAAAGTATTAACACTACTTACAGTTTTTATCAGATATTTTGTAACACTGTCTTGTAGCTTTTCGATTGACTGTGTGATAGTTACAGGTCATTTACTTAGTAATCGGTAATTCCCTTTGGGCAGACCACGATAGGCTCATTATTAGAATGACGGGATTTTCCGGTTATTTAAGGTTACGGTAATTTCCTAACATGAAAGCGTATGTTGAAACAAAAACATTTACTAGTATTTTTTTGTATGTAATGTGTCAACTGTTTTCTTTATGAAATTCTTTAAATTTTCCTTTTTATCTATTCGTCCTTGAATGTCCTTGATCCAGTATTTTAACCAATTTTCCATCGTACACAAAAATAAAAAATAACTAAAGTACATTGACAGATAAAGCAACATGGGTTGGCTAATGGCTATAGTACTATGTATTGCAGGAGTCGGCTGATTGTATTGACTGTAGTAAAATTTTATCGGGGTTAGGATGATATTATGGGAGTTGGCTTGCTTGTAGCAGGTGACAGGTATAACACCACATCAGTGACAGGTATAACACCACATCAGTGACAGGTATAACACCACATCAGTGACAGGTATAACACCACATCAGTGACAGGTATAACACCACATCAGTGACAGGTATAACCCCACATCAGTGACAGGTATAACCACATCAGTGACAGGTATAACCACATCAGTGACAGGTATAACACCACATCAGTGACAGGTATAACACCACATCAGTGACAGGTATAACACCACATCAGTGACAGGTATAACACCACATCAGTGACAGGTATAACCACATCAGTGACAGGTATAACCACATCAGTGACAGGTATAACACCACATCAGTGACAGGTATAACACCACATCAGTGACAGGTATAACCCCACATCAGTGACAGGTATAACCACATCAGTGACAGGTATAACACCACATCAGCGACAGGTATAACCACATCAGCGACAGGTATAACCACATCAGTGACAGGTATAACCACATCAGTGACAGGTATAACCACACTTGTGACAGGTATAACACCACATCAGTGACAGGTATAACACCACACCAGCGACAGGTATAACCACATCAGTGACAGGTTTAACACCACATCAGTGACAGGTTTAACACCACATCAGTGACAGGTATAACCACATCAGTGACAGGTATAACCACATCAGTGACAGGTATAACCACATCAGTGACAGGTATAACCACACTTGTGACAGGTATAACCACACTTGTGACAGGTATAACACCACATCAGTGACAGGTATAACACCACATCAGCGACAGGTATAACCACATCAGCGACAGGTATAACCACATCAGTGACAGGTATAACCACATCAGTGACAGGTATAACCACACTTGTGACAGGTATAACACCACATCAGTGACAGGTATAACACCACATCAGTGACAGGTATAACACCACACCAGCGACAGGTATAACCACATCAGTGACAGGTTTAACACCACATCAGTGACAGGTATAACACCACATCAGTGACAGGTATAACCACATCAGTGACAGGTATAACCACATCAGTGACAGGTATAACCACATCAGTGACAGGTATAACCACACTTGTGACAGGTATAACCACACTTGTGACAGGTATAACACCACATCAGTGACAGGTATAACCACAGTGACAGGTATAACACCACATCAGTGACAGGTATAACACCACATCAGCGACAGGTATAACCACACCAGTGACACTTGTGACACTCTAATAGTGACAACTTTGACAGTGACACCAGACTGGTTAGAGGTATGACACCCTAGTCGTGACACTACCCCAGCCGTGACACCCCCCCCCCCCCCCCCCGCCCACCAGTCGTGACACCACGCCACTGCTGGCTGTGAAACTACAAGGGGTGAACAAAAAAATCTGTTAAATTGAGACTTTTGTATCATGATCTGAATAGCACCCACATGAACATGGTCAATTAATACTGAATATTCAGTACAACTGAAATCAAAACATTGTGTGTGAGATTTATTTATACATTTAACCATGAACAAAAATACATACAACAGAAAACAAATCTTGTTTTTAAAAGTGATGTATTTACATTTTAAAAATTTACACATGTACTTTGGAAGTTTCCAGTTGACTAAGTAAATGACAATATTACAACCACAACCTAATTTTTGACCAGAACGGTAGACAAAAACAGTGATACAACTAGCGACGACAACTGACAAATTAAAAAAAATAAAAGTTTAAAATGTGTATACAAGTAAAATTTTAAAAATATGTACATTGGTAAATGGGTATTTTAGTCTCTTTCAGTTTTGATTATGTAAAAAGTTTTTTTTTTCAGTTTTTATTTGAGCAAGATGCAAGTTATGGCCTGTATTTGAGCAAGATGCAAGTTATGGCCTGTATTTAAGCTAGATGCAAGTTATGGCCTGTATTTGAGCAAGATGCAAGTTATGGCCTGTATTTGAGCAAGATGCAAGTTATGGCCTGTATTTGAGCAAGATGCAAGTTATGGCCTGTATTTGGGCAAGATGCAAGTTATGGCCTGCTCTTGCTACACCCAAGGTACCACTTGACCACCAGCATGTTGTCCGTCACATACTTGCCGTCCACCAGTTTCTTGAAGTTCACTTCATGAGTCCCGCGTCTGGTCTCCAGACACACCGGCACCGGCACGTCAACTTCCGATCCGGCTTCCGGCTTTTGACAATCCTGAGGCTTGAGATCCCACAGATGGGTGTAGGTTCTAGAGACGTGGTTGAAGATAAGACCATGTCCAAAGATTTTCACGGGCCACTGGATGTTGGCCTGGGAAAGTTCAGAGACCAAGATGCTGACTTGAAGCAGACCTTGGGTGTTGAAACAAAACTTGAGGCGGTATTTGAACTTTTTGGAGCAGACAAAGTATCTTGTGAAGAAGTTCTCCCTGCGGCAGGCGAGCTGTGTGCAGTCTGGGACTGTGTATTCGATCTCACCCCGGCTACAGTACCCGCCTCGACGTGAAGATTCCAGACGGCGCGAGAACGTTCTGTACGTCTCGCTTGTCTGATTTAATGTTCCAGCCTCCAGAGGATGTCTAGGAGGCTTTTTACTGGCGGCTTCGCTATGGCACAGCTGATGAGCTGAATGGACATTTCTAGCTTCAGTAGGTGTTTGGGGTTGAGCTGAATGGACATTTCTAGCTTCAGTAGGTGTTTGGGGTTGAGCTGAATGGACATTTCTAGCTTCAGTTGGTGTTTGGGGTTGAGCTGAATGGACATTTCTAGCTTCAGTTGATGTTTGGGGTTGAGCTGAATGGACATTTCTAGCTTCAGTTGATGTTTGGGGTTGAGCTGAATGGACATGTCTAGCTTCAGTAGGTGTTTGGGGTTGAACTGAATGGACATTTCTAGCTTCAGTTGATGTTTGGGGTTGAGCTGAATGGACATTTCTAGCTTCAGTTGATGTTTGGGGTTGAGCTGAATGGACATTTCTAGCTTCAGTTGATGTTTGGGGTTGAGCTGAATAGACATTTCTAGCTTCAGTTGATGTTTGGGGTTGAGCTGAATGGACATTAACGTTTGGAGCTTCAATTCGAGATGGCTGAGACGCTGAATGGACATTGCTAAATTCATTGTAACATTGTTCGAGAATTGAGACGACATGCATAGTTTCAGCAGGAGTTAGCCTAGGAGCTGATTGGCCATTTACGTTGGAAGCGTGAGTAGGTGGCCAAGGTGCTGAATGGCCATTTACGTTGGAAGCTTGAGTAGGTGGCCTAGGAGCCGAATGGCCATTCACGTTAGAAGCTTGAGTTGGCCGTTGAGGTGTAACCCACGCACCACCAGCTGTGATGGGTTCATCTAGTGCTATCGCGAAAATATCAGCTAAAGCATCAATATGGCTAGTAGCGGGGGTCTGAGTAGGGTTCGCCGTTGGAATATTCCTTAAATCATGCACAGGAACAAACCGTACCATGGTCGCATATGTCGCACCATTTGTTGGCCCTAAAGCGTCATCCAAATAATCAAGAATGTACCTATTTTCTGCCATTCTTTGTTGACGTTGGTACTCCTCGCGCAGGGCGTTTTGCTTCTGAAGGATGAAATTAGACAGCTGCTGAATCTCCCTCTCCACAAAAAGTCTCATACCCGGACAGCTACTCGGGAGGTGAACACTGAGCAGCCGAAGGTTAGCGTCGTTGTAGGTCACGATCAGGTGCGAAAGGATTTGGCGAATGTAGACTAGCTCGTCATAGTTTGCCAGCCGGGCTTCGTTGATCTCCTGGCGTATTTCCGCCTTGTTTTCGTGGAAGTAGTTGGCCATCCTCTCGACGGTCCGCACGGTTTGTTCTGCTCGTGTCTGCAACAAAGTTGGGTCAAATGTTATGTGGCACATGTTGAAACTGGTCAGTAAATAATGGATAGTATGGATAGTAGAGTACATCACAGACTGTGTTAGACTGAGGCGAGATACATGGGACTCGATAAAATGTATTGCTAAAACATTATGTGGGGGAGACTGGATCTTAGACTCAGTGGCTGCAATAAAAAAAAGTGCTTACGTTTTCTACAAAGGCGAAGATCCTGGGCTCAGGCACTGGTGCTCCTGGTGCTCCTGGTGCTGCTGATGGTGCTCCTGGTGCTCCAGGCGCTGCTGCTCTTGGTGCTGATGGTGCTGGTGCTCTTGGTGCTGCTGTTGGTGCTGGTGCTCTTGGTGCTGCTGTTGGTGCTGGTGCTCTTGGTGCTGCTGTTGGTGCTGGTGCTCTTGGTGCTGCTGTTGGTGCTGGTGTTGGTGCTGGTGCTCCTGGTGCTGCTGTTGGTGCTGGTGCTCCTGGTGCTGCTCTTGGTGCCGGTGCTCCAGGTGCTGCTGGTGCTCCTGTTGGTGCTGGTGCTCCTGGTGCTGCTGTTGGTACTGGTGCTCCTGGTGCTGCTGTTGGTGCTGGTGCTCCTGGTGCTGCTGTTGGTGCTGGTGCTCCTGGTGCTGCTGTTGGTACTGGTGCTCTTGGTGCCGGTGCTCCAGGTGCTGCTGGTGCTGCTGGTGCTGCTGGTGCTCCTGGTGCTCCTGGTGCTGCTGTTGGTACTGGTGCTCTTGCTGTTGGTGCTGATGGTGCTGTTGGTACTGTTGCTGTTGGTGATGATGCTGTTGATGCTGATGGTGTACTTGGTGGTGCTGCTGTTGTAGTTGCTCGATACATCTGATGATGGGTCCATATCGCATCAGCGATACCTGCCATGAAGTCCATGTCAGCTCCGCCTGTGGACGAGTCGGTATGGTATGACACACATACTAAATGTGTAGTATAGACGAGTCGGTATGGTGTGACACACATACTAAATGTGTAGTATGGACAAGTCGGTATGGTATGACACACATACTAAATGTGTAGTATAGACGAGTCGGTAAGGTATGACATATACTAAATGTGTAGTATGGACGAGTCGGTATGGTATGACACACATACTAAATGTGTAGTATGGACGAGTCGGTATGGTGTGACACACATACTAAATGTGTAGTATGGACAAGTCGGTATGGTATGACACACATACTAAATGTGTAGTATGGACAAGTCGGTATGGTATGACGCACATACTAAATGTGTAGTATGGACAAGTCGGTATGGTATGACACACATACTAAATGTGTAGTATGCGACATTCACAGTCGCCCTTTAACATACACAGAAGACACATACTACTAGCAGAGCTAGCACTATAACTTATATAAGCACGACATAGATTTGCTAGATCATGTTTTATCGTTTTATTTGATTTTAAATCATAAGATTTAAATGAAAAAAAAAAAGAATTAAATTAGACCATTTTTTGAGCTTGTCTAAAATAATTATCAACCTAATGCAAGTATTACCAGTACTGGTATTAGATCTAGTAACTACCAGCACTAACGTATTCAAATTTAAAAAGATAAATGCTATTTGCTTTAAGTGGACCTAGAATTTACCTTTTTTTGAATGCAGTATAAAAAAAAAAATACTTATAAAAACATAATATATGTTAAGACACATCTTAACATAAAGGCTATAAATATAAATATGTAATGTATAAATGTAAACAGTTGCTACATGCAATAAGAGATTTAAAACACAAATTTAAAACTTACGAAGATTTTAAAAACCTGCTGCGTTGTGCAACGGTGACGGTGTGGTGACCTTGTGAGGTAAATTTCAAGTTTTTCAGACAGGTGAATTGTGGGAGACACCCCGGTCACGTGCTGGTCACCCAAGGTGATGGGTGGCTGTTCAGACGTGTAGGCTTCAGGCGTGTATGTTGTGAGCGATGGTTGAATAACGCCATGGTGTGTGTGGGAGATCGTAAGAAATCTATCAACAGGTGGGGTTAGGTAGGTGGGGTCAGGTGGGTCACTGGTGCTATGTGGGTGGGGTCAGGTGGGTCACTTGTGCTAGGTAGGTGGGGTCAGTTGGGTCACTGAGGTGGGGCTAGGTAGATGGGGTCAGGTGGGTCATTGGTGCTAGGTAGGTGGGGTCAGGTGGATCATTGGTGCTAGGTAGGTGGGGTCAGGTCGGTCACGGAGGTGGGGCTAGGTAGGTGGGTCACTGGTGCTAGGTAGGTGGGGTCATGTGGGTCACTGGTACTAGGTAGGTGATGTCAGGTGGGTCACTTGTGCGAGGTAGGTGGGGTCATGTGGGTCACTTGTGCTAGGTAGGTGGGGTCAGGTGGGTCATTGGTGCTAGGTATGTGGGGTCAGGTGGGTCACTGGTGATAGGTAGGTGGGGTAAAGTGGGTCAGTGGTGCTAGGTAGGTGGAGTCAGGTGGGTCACTGGTGATAGGTAGGTGGGGTAAAGTGGGTCAGTGGTGCTAGGTAGGTGGAGTCAGGTGGGTCATTGGTGCTAGGTAGGTGGGGTCATGTGGGTCACTGGTGCTAAGTAGGTGGGGTCAGGTGGGTCACTTGTGCTAGGTAGGTGGGGTCATGTGGGTGGGTCAGGTGGGTCACTTGTGCTAGGTAGGTGGGGTCAGGTGGGTCACTTGTGCAAGGTAGGTGGGGTCAGGTGGGTCACTTGTGCTAGGTAGGTGGGGTCATGTGGGTCACTGGTGCTAGGTAGGTGGGGTCATGTGGGTCACTGGTGCTAGGTAGGTGGGGTCATGTGGGTCACTTGTGCTAGGTAGGTGGGGTCATGTGGGTCACTGGTGCTAGGTAGGTGGGGTCAGGTGGGTCACTTGTGCTAGGTAGGTGGGGTCATGTGGGTCACTTGTGCTAGGTAGGTGGGGTCAGGTGGGTCACTGGTGCTAGGTAGGTGGGGTCAGGTGGGTCACTTGTGCTAGGTAGGTGGGGTCATGTGGGTCACTGGTGCTAGGTAGGTGGGGTCAGGTGGGTCACTTGTGCTAGGTAGGTGGGGTCAGGTGGGTCACTTGTGCTAGGTAGGTGGGGTCATGTGGGTCACTGGTGCTAGGTAGGTGGGGTCAGGTGGGTCACTGGTGCTAGGTGGGTGTGGTCAGGTGGGTCACTGGTGCTAGGTGGGTGTGGTCAGGTGGGTCACTGGTGCTAGGTGGGTGGGGTCAGGTGGGTCACTTGTGCTAGGTAGGTGGGGTCAGGTGGGTCACTTGTGCTAGGTGGGTGTGGTCAGGTGGGTCACTGGTGCTAGGTAGGTGGGGTCAGGTGGGTCACTTGTGCTAGGTAGGTGGGGTCACTTGTGCTAGGTAGGTGGGGTCAGGTGGGTCACTTGTGCTAGGTAGGTGGGGTCAGGTGGGTCACTTGTGCTAGGTAGGTGGGTCACTTGTGCTAGGTAGGTGGGGTCAGGTGGGTCACTTGTGCTAGGTAGGTGGGGTCAGGTGGGTCACTTGTGCTAGGTAGGTGGGGTCAGGTGGGTCACTTGTGCTAGGTAGGTGGGGTCAGGTGGGTCACTTGTGCTAGGTAGGTGGGGTCAGGTGGGTCACTTGTGCTAGGTAGGTGGGGTCAGGTGGGTCACTTGTGCTAGGTAGGTGGGTCACTTGTGCTAGGTGGGTGTGGTCAGGTGGGTCACTTGTGCTAGGTAGGTGGGGTCACTTGTGCTAGGTAGGTGGGGTCAGGTGGGTCACTTGTGCTAGGTAGGTGGGGTCAGGTGGGTCACTTGTGCTAGGTAGGTGGGTCACTTGTGCTAGGTAGGTGGGGTCAGGTGGGTCACTTGTGCTAGGTAGGTGGGGTCAGGTGGGTCACTTGTGCTAGGTAGGTGGGGTCAGGTGGGTCACTTGTGCTAGGTAGGTGGGGTCAGGTGGGTCACTTGTGCTAGGTAGGTGGGGTCAGGTGGGTCACTTGTGCTAGGTAGGTGGGGTCAGGTGGGTCACTTGTGCTAGGTAGGTGGGGTCAGGTGGGTCACTTGTGCTAGGTAGGTGGGGTCAGGTGGGTCACTTGTGCTAGGTAGGTGGGTCACTTGTGCTAGGTGGGTGTGGTCAGGTGGGTCACTTGTGCTAGGTAGGTGGGGTCACTTGTGCTAGGTAGGTGGGGTCAGGTGGGTCACTTGTGCTAGGTAGGTGGGGTCAGGTGGGTCACTTGTGCTAGGTAGGTGGGTCACTTGTGCTAGGTAGGTGGGGTCAGGTGGGTCACTTGTGCTAGGTAGGTGGGGTCAGGTGGGTCACTTGTGCTAGGTAGGTGGGGTCAGGTGGGTCACTTGTGCTAGGTAGGTGGGGTCAGGTGGGTCACTTGTGCTAGGTAGGTGGGGTCAGGTGGGTCACTTGTGCTAGGTAGGTGGGGTCAGGTGGGTCACTTGTGCTAGGTAGGTGGGGTCAGGGGGGTCACTGGTGCTAGGTGGGTGTGGTCAGGTGGGTCACTGGTGCTAGGTGGGTGTGGTCAGGTGGGTCACTGGTGCTAGGTGGGTGGGGTCAGGTGGGTCACTGGATGGTTAAGGGTGTTGATGCAACAAAACACAAATAGAAAATAGATGGTCCCTTCTTACAACCCCCACCCCTATAGTGTGTTTGTAGGCTTAAGGGTAGTCTCCCCCCCCCCCCCTTCTCCCCACACACAGGTACAGATTTTGTTTTCTTTGTTGTTTGGTTAATACCTCTTCACCTCCTTGACTTTCTCCCCTCCACCTCAGGTGACGATTGGAAAGGTAGAACTAAGCACTGGTCAATATGGCCACAGTACACACAAATGTATCGATACTGATTGTCCGAGAATTTCTTTTGTTTTCCTCATGACTTAAACCTTAACACTCTAAAAATCATCAAACATTTGAAACTTGCTTGAAATATTGATGTGTTTATACAGGTAAAGTTACAACTTTAGATTACAAAAGTCCACAACTGCCCATTGGTCAGTGGCGCAGCGAGGTCGTGTGTCACCCGGATTTCGATTTGCACCCCCCCCCCTCAAACTTTCGATTCCCCCCCCCCCCCCCTTCAAGTTTTTCTCTATATATTTTGCTATTTTTTGCCTTGGTATCACCCCCCTAAATGGTGTCACCAGGTGCGCCCCCCCCACCTCGAGAAAAATGTCTGGAAGAAACACTGTACATGGGGACAAGATCTAGAGTTACCAGCCTACTCCATGATTCTAAAGGACAAATAAACTGTCTTTATTGCCTTTTAAAAGTTAAATGTACACGGTATAAAGGCTTAGGTTAAAGGTCAACACAGTGAAAGATAAACAACACACCAAGACGGTAGGTCAAGGCCGACAGTGAACTTTACTCAAGTTTTAAAAAAGTAAAGTCAACTTGTCTCTTTCTACCACAATATACATTTCAATTTCACTGATTTTTGAGACTAGCTGAATTATTCGAGTATGTTGTTTTAGTGAGGGGAGAGGAGGGGTGAGGGGAGAGGAGGGGTGGGGGGGGGGGACTACACGTCACGTAATGTCTATCATCAACGGAACACTGCTCTATTAGTGCTGTCTGTCAACACAAGCAATCAGCTAGTTACACAACAATTGTTGACAGAGAGAGATAGAGAAATCCAGTCTCAGGCCCGGGAAGGGTGGGGGAGGGGTGTTGTTGAGGTTATAGCTTCCGTCTTCAATAAGTTAACTAAGATTAATTAGACACACTTTAGTCTTGTAAATAATTTTCTAGCATCAGTTTATATATATATATATATATATATATATATATATATATATATATATATATACCAGTAGCTTACTGTTTCTGTAATACCATACAAGACAATGAGGGGCCGTAACTATTTATTGCGGATGGATTGAGTCAGGTTTTTCCTTAGTGTTGTAAAGCGAAGAGTATCTATACATGGGCCTCAGTGCAGTGGCGTAGCGAGGGGGATGGGGGCTGAGGACAGCACCGGGTGACACCATTTAGGGGGGTGACACCTAGGCAAAAAAATAGCAAAATATAAAGAGAAAAATGATAATTCCACTTAATTAAGTGATTAATTCGAGTGTTTTTAAGAGCAAATTTGACAAATCCCGACAAGGGGGGGGGGGGGGGCTGCAAATCGAAAGTTAGAGGGGGAGGGTGCAAATTGAAATTTTGAGGGGGGTGCAAATCGAAAATTAAAAGTTTGTCCCGGGCGCCGGGAAGGGTCGCTACGCCTCTGGGGGGGTGACACCATTAAGTGCCGCACCGGGTGACATCCGACCTCGCTACGCCACTGCCTAGGTGTACACGATACAGATTTTAAGCATGCATCAATAAAACATAATACATGAAGGCTGAATGCATCAAACAAAGTTTGAGAAAAATATTTAATACATGTGGCTATATGTATTTAACACAAATTGTAAGCAGTGTTTCTTTCAGGCTTTTTGTCTCGGGGGGGGGGGGGCACTTGAAATTTCGGGTAGGGTGGTTGACTACTATTTCGGGGGGGGGGGGGGGGTACACTGGTCAAAGTATATATTTGTAGAGATAAAAGCAAGGAGCATTATTACTAGATGCAATTAACACGTTTCTTGGAGGAGTTTTTCATTACGATTTCTGTTCTGTTTGTCTAATATATGGGACGGCGTGGTCTGGCAGTACAGAGCTAAACTGTTAACCCGAAAGTCTCGAGTCCACCCAGCTCTGATGGGTACCGGACTCACGTTAGGAAAAACAAAGGCGGCTGGGCATAGTGCTGACCACACTGTCCCTCCATATGCCGAGGTCTCTGAAGAATATGAACTGTACTTAATCTGATGATGTTTAGTATAAGTAAAGTATTACAACAAAAAAATTACAGACAGTATTCTTGTAGGTCTACATAATTCTATTTCTAGCATCATTAATCTAAATTAGTTAATTAACCATGTGGAAAATGTCAATCACAGTCATCTATAACAAGATAAATGGCCCGTCGAGGGAGAAATACAACGGGCGCTAAGTTGATATTGTTGCCTTTTTCTCTAAATCGAAACCAAAACCAAAATCGCCACCTCAACTTCAAATTTAATCGGAAACGAAAACAGACATTGAAAACGGATTTTAATCCAAAATCGGCACATAGTTACTACAGATTCATACTAAATACAGTCGTAGTCATATCCTAAACCTTGCACCTAATTTCAAATAGGACAAAAGTCACATTTAGAGTTTCTTTTAGGCGACTCTATGTGGGGGGATGGTGAGTGGAGGGGGGTTTGTGGGGCGGGATCTGTCCATACCACCCACCCTTCAAAGAAACATAATTTATATAGAAAATATACTTTTACCAGTGTTCTACCCCTCCATGGAAAACGCCCCACCTTCCGAAAAATGTCAAGTACCCCCATTTCCTCCGGGTAGGAAAAAGTCTGAAAGAAACACTGGTCGCATTTGTAGAACATACAGTCTAAAGGTAGAGCCTACTTCTATAATATAGACCCGTTTCATACTTTTGGCCTCATAGAGATAGTGTTTCTTTTATACTTTTTTTTTACGGGAGATGGGGGCATTTGGGGAGGGGGTTGCGGATTAAATTATTCTGAGGGAAGGGGGGGGGGTCTGACACTGGTAAAAATTTTATTTCTATATAAATTGTATTTTGTTTGGGGGGTGGGTTTTAGACGTTCTACTGAGGGGGGTGTCTTAGACGTTGACCCGGGGGGGGGGGCTTTGCCCCTACCACATACATAACAGAAACCAATCTATTTCGTTGAAGGGGGCGGCAGACCAGCTTCGGGGTGAGTTACGGGTGGTGGGCTCCCCCACCCCCTCCCATAGAGTCAGAGGCATAGCGACTCTTCTCGGCGCCCGGGGACAAACTTTTCGATTTTCATCCCCCCTCAAGATTTTGATTTGCACCCCCCCCCTCAAACTTTCGATTTGCACCCCCCCTCGAGATTTCGATTTGCACCCCCCCCCCCTCAAACTTTTGACTTGCACCCCCCTCAACCTTTCAATTTATTTTTCCAACCCATTTTGGCGCCCCCTAAGGTCGGCGCCCGGGGACGTATGTTCCCCCCCCCCCCCCCCCCCCCCGCTACGCTACTGCATAGAGTCGCTTGAAAGAAATACTAAATAGGACTTTCGTCATGTTTGAGCTTAGGTGCAAGGTTTAGGGGTATGACTAAGACTATATTTAGTATCAATGTGTAGTAACTATGTGCCGATTCTGGATTAAAATCAGTTTTCAATGACATTTTTCGTTTCCGGTTAAATTTGAAGTTGAGGTGGTAATTTTGGTTTAGAATAAATAGTTATACAATAAAAAGCATACATGATGACATTTTTAAACTTTTAATTAGAAAAACAATAAGAAAAACAATAAGAAAATCTATAAGAAAAACAATAAGAAAAACATTAAGAAAAACAATAAGAAAAACAATAAGAAAATCTATAAGAAAAACAATAAGAAAATCTATAAGAAAAACAATAAGAAAATCTATAAGAAAAACAATAAGAAAAACAAAATGAAGCATTAACTACAAGAGCAGCTAAAGAGATGGCAGCTAATAAAGACAAATATGGGTGTTTAATAATTTTAAAAAACTGACATTTTTGTTAATTAAATGTAAACATATGGTATGAAAGACAGGCACTACTTTTAGAAACATATTGAATACACTGTCCTTAAATAGTGGCTTCATCTTTTGGGAGAGAACCCCTACATGCAACACAACACTGGTTATTGTATACATACAACACAACACTGGTTATTGTATACATACAACACAACACTGGTTATTGTATACATACTGCCAGTCGACATATTACATTATTTTTTAGAAAACCCCTACAGTTTTACATTGCGTACACACTGCCAATTTCTTTATTTCTTTGAGCAAAACTTCCTACAGTTTTTCATATAACTTAACACTGTATTGCATACACTCTCTCCAGTACTTTATTTCTTTGAGCAAAACTTCCTACAGTTTTTCATATAACATAACACTGTATTGCATACACTCTGTCCAGTACTTTATTTCTTTGAGCAAAACTTCCTACAGTTTTTCATATAACTTAACACTGTATTGCATACACTCTGTCCAGTACTTTATTTCTTTGAGCAAAACTTCCTACAGTTTTTCATATAACATAACACTGTATTGCATACACTCTGTCCAGTACTTTATTTCTTTGAGCAAAACTTCCTACAGTTTTTCATATAACATAACACTGTATTGCATACACTCTGTCCAGTACTTTATTTCTTTGAGCAAAACTTCCTACAGTTTTTCATATAACATAACACTGTATTGCATACACTCTGTCCAGTACTTTATTTCTTTGAGCAAAACTTCCTACAGTTTTTCATATAACATAACACTGTATTGCATACACCCTGTCCAGTCCTTTAATTCTTTGAGCAAAACTTCCTACTGTTTACATATACCATAACATGGTACAGTATTACATATAACATAACACTGTATTCCACACACACTGCCCATTCTTTTATTTCTTTGAGCTGTAGCACCCGACCCACCACCTAACCACCAACCGGTTATTACAGATGTATTGCCGGTTAACCAGTTCCTGGTGGCTCACGGTTGAATAACAAGTGCCGTCCGATGACGTCAGACAGACGGGCACGGAGATTTTGACTCCGATCTCGTCGAACGGTTCCCAGCACTGGACCTTGTTGAGATTCCAGAGTTTGGTGTGGGTGTGGCTGGTGGGGTCGTATACCAGGCCGTAGCCGAAGATTTGAACCGGCCACCGGTCGTGTGCCGGCTCCGTGCGGTATACGGTCACGTGGATCTTGAGAAGACCGGCAGTGTTGAAGGAGAAGGTGAGAGTGTACTCTATCATTTTCGACTCGATGAGAATGGGCGGGGTGGTGAAGGTGACATGACGGCCGGTGGTGATGTGGTAGTTGGTGATGGCGTGTTCGATCTCACCGTAGCTGGTGGTGTAGACGTAGCCGTGAGGTAGCTGTGGGAACGACTGGACGGCTCTGGTGCACATTGTAGCTGACGTGAGTGGCTGTGGTGCTACCTCGGTAGCTGCTGATGTATCAGGGTCTAACGAACCAGCAAAGTTGGCTACATCAATGGCTTCAGCTACATAAGTTGGTGTTATCATAGTTGGTATTGATATGTCAGAAATTGTTACGTTAATTGTAACAGCTACTTCTGCATCTTCTACATAATATGTGTCTACATCATCTGCATTTTCTACATCATATGTGTCTAAATCATCTGCATCTTCTACATCATATGTGGCTACATCATTTGCTACTTCTACATCATATGTGTCTACATCATCTGCTACTATATCATCTGCATGTTCTACATCATATGTGTCTAAATCATCTGCTACTTCTAAATCATATGTGTCTAAATCATCTGCTACATCTACATCATATGTGTCTACATAATCTGCATCTTCTACATCATATGTGTCTAAATCATCTGCTACATCTACATCATATGTGTCTACATAATCTGCATCTTCTACATCGTATGTGTCTACATAATCTGCTACTTCTACATCATATGTGTCTAAATCATCTGCTACATCTACATCATATGTGTCTACATCATCTGCTACATCTACATCATATCTGTCTACATAATCTGCATCTTCTACATCATATGTGTCTAAATCATCTGTATCTTCTACATCATATGTGTCTACATAATCTGCATCTTCTACATCATATGTGTCTACATAATCTGCATCTTCTACATCATATGTGTCTACATCATTTGCTACATCTACATCATATGTGTCTAAATCATCTGCATCTTCTACATCATATGTGTCTACATAATCTGCTACATCTACATCATATGTGTCTACATAATCTGCATCTTCTACATCATATGTGTCTACATCATCTGCTGCTTCTACATCATATGTGGATACATCATCTGCTACATCTACATCATATGTGTCTACATAATCTGCATCTACTACATCATATGAGTCTAAATCATCTGCTACTTCTACATCATATGTGTCTACATCATCTTCATCTTCTACATCATATGTGTCTACATAATCTGCATCTTCTACATCATATGTGTCTACATCATCTGCTGCTTCTACATCATATGTGGATACATCATCTGCTACATCTACATCATATGTGTCTACATCATCTGCAACATCTGCATCGTAAGTGTCCACATAATCTGCATCTTCTTCATCATATGTGTCTAAATCATCAGCATCATCTACATCATATGTGTCTACATCATCTGCTACTTCTACATCATATGTGTCTACATAATCTGCATCTTCTACATCATATGTGTCTACATCATCTGCTACATCTACATCATATGTGGATACATAATCTGCATCTTCTATATCATATGTGTCTACATCATCTGCTACTTCTACATCATATGTGTCTACATCATCTGCTACATCTACATCATATGTGTCTACATAATTTGCATCTTCTACATCATATGTGTCTAAATCATCTGCTACATCTACATCATATGTGTCTATATCATCTGCATCTTCTACACCAGGTGTGTCTACATCATCTGCTACATCTACATCATATGTGTCTACGACATTGGCATCTTCTACATCATATGTGTCTAAATCATCTGCATCTTCTACATCATATGTGTCTAAATCATCTGCATCTTCTACATCATATATGTCTACATCATCTGCAACATCTACATCATATGTGTCTAAATCATCTGCTTCTTCTACACCATATGTGTCTACAACATCTGCTACTTCTACATCATATGTGGCTACATCATCTGCTACATCTACATCATATGTGTCTACGTCATTTGCTGCATCTACATCATATGTGTCTAAATCATCTACATCTTCTACATCATATGTGGCTACATTATCTGCTACTTGTACATCATATGTGGTTACATCATCTGCTACATCTACATCATATGTGTCTACATAATCTGCATCTTCTACATCATATGTGTCTACATTATTTGCTATATCTACATCATATGTGTCTACATAATCTGCATCTTCTACATCATATGTGTCTACATCATCTGCATCTTCTACATCATATGTGTCTACATCATCTGCTACATCTACATCGTATGTGGCTACATAATCTGCATCTTCTACATCATATGTGTCTACATAATCTGCTACTTCTACATCATATGTGTCTAAGTCATCTGCTACTTCTACATCATATGTGTTTACATCATTTGCTACATCTACATCATATGTGTCTAAACCATCTGCATCTTCTACATCATATGTGGCTACATCATCTGCTACTTGTACATCATATGTTGCTACATCATCTGCTACATCAACATCATATGTGGCTACATCATCTGCTACATCTACATCATATGTGTCTAAATCATCTGCTACTTCTACATCATATGTGGCTACATCATCTGCTACTTCTACATCATATGTGTCTACATAATCTGCATCTTCTACATCATATGTGTCTAAATCATCTGCATCTTGTACATCATATGTGTCTAAATCATTTGCTACATCTACATCATAAGTGTCTAAATCATCTACATCTTCTACATCATATGTGGCTACATCATCTGCTACATCTACATCATATGTGTCTACATAATCTGCATCTTCTACATCATATGTGTCTAAATCATCTGCATCTTCTACATCATATGTGTCTAAATCATTTGCTACATCTACATCATAAGTGTCTAAATCATCTACATCTTCTACATCATATGTGTCTAAATCATCTGCTACTTCTACATCATATGTGGCTACATCATCTGCTAAATCTACATCATATGTGTCTACATAATCTGCATCTTCTACATCATATGTGTCTACATCATCTGCTACATCTACATCATATGTGTCTAAATCATCTGCATCTTCTACATCATATGTGTCTACATAATCTGCTACTGCTACATCATATGTGTCTACATCATCTGCTACTTCTACATCATATGTGTCTACATCATCCGCTACTTCTACATCATATGTGTCTACATAATCTGCATCTTCTACATCATATGTGTCTAAATCATCTGCATCTTCTACATCATATGTGTCTACATAATCTGCTACATCTACATCATGTGTGTCTACATCATCTGCTACTTGTAAATCATATGTATCTACATAATCTGCATCTTCTACATCATATGTGTCTACATCATCCGCTACTTCTACATCATATGTGTCTACATAATCTGCATCTTCTACATCATATGTGTCTAAATAATCTGCATTTTGTACATCATATGTGTCTGCATCATCTGCTACATCTACATCATAAGTGTCTAAATCATCTGCATCTTCTACATCATATGTGTCTAAATCATCTGCATCTTCTACATCATATGTGTATACATCATCTGCTACTTCTACATCATATGTGTCTACATCATCTGCTACTTCTACATCATTTGTGTTTACATCATCTGCTACATCTACATCATATGTGTCTACATCATCTGCTACTACATGGTATGTGTCTACATCATCTGCCACTGCTACACCAGATGTGGCTACAATATCTGCTACTGCTACATCAGATGTGGCTACATTATCTGCTACTGCTACATCAGATGTGGCTACATTATCTGCTACTGCTACATCAGAAGTGGCTACATTATCTGCTACTGCTACATCAGATGTGGCTACATTATCTGCTACTGCTACATCAGATGTGGCTACATTATCTGCTACTGCTACATCAGATGTGGCTACATTATCTGCTACTGCTACATCAGAAGTGGCTACATTATCTGCTACTGCTACATCAGATGTGGCTACATTATCTGCTACTGCTACATCAGATGTGGCTACAGTATCTGCTACTGCTACATCAGATGTGGCTACCTTATCTGCTACTGCTACATCAGATGTGGCTATATTATCTGCTACTGCTACATCAGATGTGGCTACCTTATCTGCTACTGCTACATCAGATGTGGCTACCTTATCTGCTACTGCTACATCAGATGTGGCTATATTATCTGCTACTGCTACATCAAATGTGGCTACATTATCTGCTACTGCTACACCAGATTCGGCTACATTATCTGCTACTGCTACATCAGATGTGGCTACATTATCTGCTACTGCTACACCAGATTCGGCTACATTATCTGCTACTGCTACATCAGATGTGGCTACATTATCTGCTACTGCAACATCAGATACAGATACCACAGTATCTCCCACCACACCAAGGGAAGTACATTCATCTATCAAATCAGTGAATTCCCGAAGCTCGTGTTTGACCAAAGTTTGGACCGTGTCCACTTCCTGCCCGCGTTGTTCCACAAGAGCCTGTATGATGCAGCTCTGGAACTTCTCCACCATAGACCCCACCACATGTTGCATCTGCTGCGTGCTCTGGTGTTGGTCGGCACTGGTTAGCCTGACCTCCACTAACTCTTTAATTTTCTGACGCCATAATGTATCCACAGTTTCGTCATCTAGATGTAGCTGAAAAATAGATTTTAAATTGTTCTCTAAAATTTGTTTGAATTTTTAAAAAGTATTAAAACTTCATTGACAACTTTGTTAAAACTCGTACACTTAATCTCTGTACATGTGAAGAAAATGGTTATACATTTTTACATCTTGTTAAATCTGATTAGCTAATTATGGGCTAATAACGGATATATAATACATTGTATTCATTAACAATCAATTAACTTGATACGTACATCTTCACTTAACGGCCCAAAGACAGCGACCAGCTCCTCGTAGTTGTCCATCTTTAACGAGTTACCGTTCTTGTTTCACCAGTAGATTGTTCTGTACAGTTGGTGAACTGCTGAAATAATTCACTTTTTAAAAACGGATTCTTCAAATTGTAAAAACATTTTCATATCTTATTACAGGCCTATAGTTTTTAAAAAATGATGAATATCTATAACGAGAAAAATGGCCCGTTGAGGAAGGATACAACGTGCGCTAGGTTGATAGTGCTGTCTATTTTCTCTAAGCTAAAACCAAAACCGAAATCACCACCTTACTTCAATTTAACCGGAAACGAAAAATGACATTGAAAACGGATTTTTATCCAGAATTGTCATTTTTATCGCATTTAAGCTTGATCTACACGTAATTATCGCGCATTTATACTAAATATACTAAATATATTAAATATAGTCGTAGCCATACCTCTAAACCATGCACTTAAGCTCAATCATGACAAAAGTAGCATTTAGAGTTTCTTTCAGGCAACTACTTGGAAAGTAGGGGCTCCGCACAACCCCCCCCCCCCACACACACACACACCAAAGCACCTCTACCGTCCCATTCAACGATATTAATATATACTTTTTCCAGTCCGTCCACTCACAGAAAATTCCACCCCGCTCCCGAAAATTTCAAGCACCCCCACCCCTCTCTGGGGAGGAAAAAGTCTGAAAGAAACACTGGTAGCTTGTGTTGATCATAAAAACTAAAGGTAGAGCCTGGGAGGGGTTTCGCCTCTACCGGAAGAGATGCATGAACGAAACTGTGTACGCAAAACACTTTTTAGATTAGAAAATGTCAAGTTCCCCCATCCCTCTCCGGGGAGAAAAAAGTCTGAAAGAAACACTGGTCGTATTTGTAGATCATACAAACTGAAGGTAGAGCCTACTTCTATAATTCAAACTCGTTACATCGTTTCCTACTTTTGGCCGATAAACCTCACACTTGCAGACAGTGTTTCTTTCAGATATTTTTCTGGGGTGGGGCACTTGAATTTTTGCAGAGGCGAATAAAATTATCCGGGGCGGGGGAGAACGACACTGGTAAAAGTACAATATATTTTCTATATCAATTATATTTCGTTTTTTTTTCAGGCGGAGGGATTAGACGTTCAATCGTGAGGGGAGGGTGGGGGGGGGGGGGGGGTAAATGGGCTTCGCCCCTACCCGAAGTGATGCATGAAAGAAACTCTGCAAGCAAACCACTCTTTAGATTAGACACATGAATCAGGCTGCAATTTTATTATAGAGTATCGATGACATTTCTTTTGAGTTCGGGGGGGGGGGGGGTGCGGCTTGGACGTTCTTACGCGGGAGATGGGCTTGATGTACACGTAGTTATCGCGCATTTATACTAAATATACTAAATATATTTAATATAGGCGGTAGAACGTCTATGCCGATACCTGAAAAAATTCAAGTGCCCCACCCACGGAAAAAAAGCCTGAAACGAACACTGTCTGCGTGAGTAAAATTTATCGGTCGAAAGTAGGAAACAGGTCTATATTATAGAAGTGGGCTCTACCTTTAGTTTGTATGATCTACAAATGCGACCAGTGTTTCTTTCAGAGTTTTTCCTCCCAAGAGGGGAGGGGGGGTCTTAAATTTTCGGGGGTGAGGGTGGACTAAATTTTTTTAAGGTGGCGGAGAGTTAGTCGGGATACTAGTCGGAAATCCGTTTTCAGTGACACTTGACATTTCCGGTTAAATTTGGAGTTGAGGTGGTGATTTTCTTTTTTATTTCGATTTTTAAAAAAAAAGACACCATTATCAACCTAGCGACCGTTGTATCTCTCCATCAAAGGGGCATTTATCTGGTATTTTCATATTTTTCTTATACGTTTTTAATTTAAAAAAATGTTTCTATATTCTATAGGGTACTTAAGGGTGCATCAGTTATCCGATTTTAAGAGACCGGGAGTAATTACCATTTTCGGTTATCGGAAATCGCTTAAAAGTTAATATAAAGCTAAAAGTTTAATATAATACCTTACGTTTTAAAAATATAAAGCGGGAATGATCTCTCCTAAACTTTCAAGTATATTCTTATATTACAGTTGGAGGGGTGGCTCTCCCATGGCAATAGTTTTAATACTTATTTATATAAGCAAAATAGAATAAAGCAGAAAAAAAAATTGTGCACTTAATGACCAGTGTAAGTATAATAGAGCGGAAAATAATTTATACGTTCTTTTGGAAACATTAATTGCATTGTTTTATTTTTTTTTTAGAAATAAGAAAAAGCTTAAATATTACTTCCAGTAACCGGAAATCAATTAGCCGCGAATAAGATCATATGCCTAAGCCTGAAATTTCCTTTAGCTTACTGAAACAGTTCTCAAGCGATTGGATATGATATAATTCTCGAAAACAAGAAATAGAGTTAAGTATCACTTCCGGATGTCGAAAATCACTCAAAATTGAAAGTGACCCAAGTATAGGATATTTTCTTTACTTATATATAAAATATCAAGTAAAATACAGTTTGGATGTTATTGTGGTCCAAAGGAAAAAAGAGTAGAAAATCATTTCCGAGAATCGGAAATCGTTCAAATGTTGAGAAAAACCTGCGCATACAATCTAATTCTAGCACGTAAACTTTCGTCTACCTAACTTTAAAGGTACTTACATTATCTGCCTTTAAGAGACTGGAAGTAATTACATTTTTGGAAATCGGAAATCGCTCAAAAGTCAATAAGTTTATGTAGCCTAGTAGTAGAATCTAGATCATACCAGCCAACAACAAATAACCACATTATTATTATTTGGTTAATGATTAGGCTAATTTTTTAAAAAATCAACTTTTTATAAAAGAAACAAATCAAGCTAGAAACTTTATAAGTGAGATGGTTTAGAATAATAACAATGGACCCAGTCTACAATTGATACAATTGCAGGTCTACATAAGGCCTACAGTCGAGTAGTTTACTGTAGGCACCTAGTTTGTAGATTGTATACTAGTGTGTAGCTGTCCAGAGTTAAGATTCTTGGATGTAAAAAGGGATGCTTTCCCCTGATAACCCATGTGTGCTATAAATGACATAACATGACATCGAGGTGAGAAATGTTGAGGGGAGAG